CAGTGGATTTGCAGCAGTCCTAGAGATACAGTAGATGAGAATTGATAGAAGAGAATATTTGTAGAAGAGTGGAACTTTGGGACTCTCTGAGCTTGGTTGTTATTTCGCAGAGGTTTCATTACCAAACTATCCCTCGACTTACAACAGTTCATTTAGTGACCATTCAAAATTACAAGGGCATTGATAAAAGTGACTTATGACCATTTTTCACACTTATGATCGTTGCAGCATCCCCATAGTCCTGTGATCAAAATTCAGACACTTGGCAACTGACTTGTATTTATGACAGTTGCAGCATCCCTAAGTCATGTGATCACCTTTTTGCCGGTCAGTGAGGAAGCCAGAGTCACTTAATAACCCTGTCACTAACTTAGCAACTGCAGTGATTCACTTAATAACTGTGGCAAGAAAGGTCGTAAAATGGAGCAAAATTCATTTAACAAATGTCTCACATAGCAACAGAAATTTTGGGTTCAATTGTGGTCGTACGTCGAGGACTACCTGTAGTATCATCAGTGCTGGAGGGGATTGGGATTTGCTCTCATTTTATATTCTAGTGGCTTACCCTGTCAGTGTTAGTGAGAGTGGCATTGGTGATTCCTTGATTAGGCTATTGCTTATTGTTAGCTTGTTTGTCTGAGTTGGTACACGAGAATTTGCTGCTTTCCATGACAAACACCAACAATCAACTGCTTAAGGCAGCCTCCTCACCTCTGATTTATCTATCTATGTATCTATCTATCCATCCATCCATCCAATTTAGGTATGTCAAGGAGTGCAACGGCCAACAGAATTAAAATAGAACAAAAAGAATAACAAACATTATAAGAATTAAAAATACCAGCAGCAGAGAAACGGGAACTCCAATGACAGGGTTAGAACTTTTCAGGAAAAAAATGTTTTTTAGCAAGTTTTATAAAAATGGGTATATTCAGATAGACCATTTAAGTTGAGTAAAATAAAAATCCATTTCATGGAAAAGTGGCCCAAGAGCAGCCCAGAATGAATGCAAGATTTAGAAATGTACAGTGAGTTTCAATAACACAAATTGCAACCATCTGTGCAACCATCATCTCTTTCTGTTCCATAGCCAGGTTTTCTTTGTGTACCCATTTGTATTTTTCTCTGCTCTGCTATTCTACATTTAACATTGAAGCTTTCCAGCTATTAGCATACTATTCCTTTTCTAATATTCACCTTGTGCTATAGCCAGTTTCTGCTGTGGTTGCTCTGGTGCTCTTAACAATAGGGTGATATACAGAAATCTAGGATGCAATCTCCAAACCCGAGATGATATTCCTTACAGGGACTGGTAATTCATTCACGGGTCTGGCTTGTCAGGGGCAGATTATAATTGGTGCTCAATTTATTCTTATCTGTGCGGGCTGGCGACATTCAAGTAATTGAGGAGGCTATGAGGACTCTCCAGAATGAAATTACATCTTGATAGCTTAATACGCCATAATAGACAGGCCAGCATTGAATCAGTTGTTTCCTTTAGGGGAAAAAAGGGAATAAAAATGATTAAAGGAAAGAAGGGCATAGAACTTTACAATTGGAGAAAATTTTGTTGGTGTTTATTATTTCAAAGAGCTAAATAGTGGGATATGTTAGATTGTATTATTAATAATAAGTAAAGCTATCGACACAATAATGTTAGGAGCTCAAGAGCTATGCAGTAGATGAACGATGGTGTTGTTATGCAGCGGCACCCAAAATCCATGCTAATTGGAAATTTATTTAATTAACAAATTTATATTGTCACACAACTCACCAAAGGCAACAATGCACAACGTGAATACTTGATTAGCTGTAATTCCATGAATGCAGGTAGCAATCAATTTAGTAGTATTTATTTCTGAACAAGGTGCTATTGTGAATTAGAAGATTAAATTATAATTAGTGACTTGGCAGGTCCAGAAATTTTAGAAGTGCACCGAGGCATTATTGTGGAATGTGGAACATTCTCCAACAAAGAGTGCTTTAAATTTCCTTTTAAAAATATATATTTTCCTGTCTCCTGACAATAGTCAGTACACATCTAATCATGAAGATGGATCAGTAATATGTAGCATTATTCATTGGTGTCTTCCAGGCTGCATCAAAGTGCTAAAAATGTCAAATGGGAGCTTTGTGGCAGAAGCTGTATAATTTCCCTTCTTAATTTTTGCACAAGCTACTTGCATCTGCTTCTTTCACTTAGTATCATTTAAAAAGAAATATCTTTTATGAGACCCTGTTAGAAAATAAAAACAATTAAGTGGGGTAGTGTTAGTTGTCTCTTGTTTATGAAACAATCATGCACAGTGATGAAGTTATGCTACATGAAACTAAGGACAATTATTCTCGCACTTCTAATGAAAGTTTACCCCATTCTCCATTGCAGTTCCAAAACACAACAGAAAATTAGGAACCAAAACAGGTATCTTTTGTGAGATCTTCCACACAACATGGAGGAAGAGAGATAGCCCAGGTTTACCTGGTAATACATAATACGGTTGGTCCTCTACTTATGACCACAATTGAGTTCAGAATTTATGTTGCTAAGTGAGAAGTTTGTTAAATGAGATAGGTCCCATTTTCTTGCCACATTTATTAAGTGAATCACTGCAGTTGTGAAATTAGTAACACAGTTGTTAAGTGAATCTGGCTTCCCCATTGACTTTGATTGTCAGAAAATTGCAAAAGATGATCACATGATCCTGGGATACTGCAACCGTCATAAATATGAACTAGTTGCCTAGCATCCAAATGTAAATCATGTGACCATGAGGATGCTGCAACAGTCATACGTGTAAAAATGGTCATAAGTCATTTTTTTCAGTGCCATTGTAACTTCGAACGGTCACTAAATGAACTATTGTCGAGGACTACCTGTAGTCAAGCTCTCTGGGTTTAGGAGATTATTACCAATGTATCGATCAGATTCTTGAAGACGTTTGCCTGCAGGCAAGGCTTCCTTAGCACAATGGTTCAGAAGTGGGACATGGCAAAATATGTGATGCCTGTAAAATGATTAAAGATCATTTTGGAATTTTTTTTAAAAAGGTAACTTTGTCAAAAATGCACTGTGGAATTCTACATACCACAATAGCTAAAATGGAATAGAAGGAAGACATTGGAAGAGCTTAGAGATACATTAATAAAAAAATATAAACCGTAACTACATATTAGTTGGTTATATCTTTTTATCAGACTCATCTTAGAATGACTATGAACATAAAGATTTAAAAGATTCTTACAAACATAACATGGAAGGGCCGTAATCTTTCTCCTACTATTACTATCTCTATTAATACTACTATTTTTTTCTGTTAACTACTGCAATTATATTTAGTTTGCCCTACTCTTCTCTTATACAATTTCATTAATATTACCATCAGTGTGTTATATCTATTTAACATTATTATATATAAAATCTTTATTTCTGGACACTTTTATCAGTTCAATTCAGATGAATATCAAGTTCTGTGGAAATGTTATCTCAAGGAATATTTCCTTCTTCTTAGACAAAATTTTCCGTAGCAACAAAGTCTGTCAGAAGTTTTACTAAATTAATTCCTGAAGCTTGAGTCCGGCATTTGAAACAATTCTGTTTAGGCAGCAAAACAATATATTTTTCTTTTTCAGTCTTCTTGAAAAATACTTAAGTTTTTCTTAGGTCTTGGTATAGACAGCATCACATTTCACTTCTTTCACAAAAGGGCTCAAGTGGATGATAACACATTTTAACATTTTAAATATAAGTTTGACATTTAAATTAAATTATTATCTTTGCAACCCATCAATCATTTAAAAAAAAAATAAAGATCATAATCTTGTGGATTCTTGTTGGTTATTAGTACCTTATGAAAAACAGTTACATAGAATACAGCAGTGATGGCGAACCTTTTAGAGACTGAGTGCCCAAACTGCAACCCAAAACCCACTTATGTATCGTCGAGTGCCAGGTGGGCGTGGCCCATTGGATGGGCATGCCCATTGGGTGCGCATGGCCCATTGAGTGTGTGTGGCTGCGGTGGTAACGGCAGACTGGGTGGGACTAAAAAGTTCAATCAATCAATTCCAACTTTGCAAGATCTTTTTTTTCCCCACGAGAAGTTGAAATTGACTGATTGAATCTTTTTTTTTTTTTTTTGCACACGGGGGCGGAGGCCTAAAGCGAAAAGGTTTTATAAAACCCAGCTGAAGGCCTAGGACTGGGGCGACAGTGCGTATGCCCACAGAGAGGGCTCTGAGTGCCGCCTCTGGCACCCATGCCATAGGTTCGCCACCACTGGAATATAGGAATGGTATAAATATTTTGGAAAGGACTATAATGAACTTATGTGTCCATACAGGGTACAAATTCCTAATTTCTGTAATGCAATGCGAAATAACTCCATGAAACAAAAGGAATTTCCTTTTTCAGTTTCTGTACTGCAGTTGGGAATGTGTAGGTTGCTCCCTGCACATATCAGAACGCCTAAGAGATGAAACGGAAATTCTATAAATACTTAAAAGATATTTGTAACTACCCTGGATGGAGTTAGAATCTTTCAGATGGTGTTCTTCCTTAGCCGGTTTATAAATGCAGTAAAAAAAGCAACATGTTTTTCTGAGATAATTTTCCAGTGCATGTACTTTACATGTTGCAACCTGTTAGCCATCAGCACTCCTTCACAACCAAATGTGTTGTGAAATATCTCCCAGGAGACCACGGCCACCAATGAAGTAGTTAACTCTGAGTTGCTTGTTTAGATGGTCTTTGGAAGATCCCGGAGATCACCGTAGGCTGAGTTTCCTGAAGCTCACAAAAAAAGCAAGCAGTGGAAAGGTGTGCATATTTCAAATAAGAATTGTTTTCAATATTTATCTGAAGATTTATTCAGTGTGAATTTTTGCTAACTCCTTTGCCAATCACATCACAATTGCTGTCATGTTAAAATGCTGGTTTCTCTTCCTGAGGATTAATGGGTAGAGTTTGTGATTTGGAGTTTATTTTTGTTGTGTATTGGTAGAATACCTACACTAATGCAGACAAGCTACTGGAAGCAGCAGAGCAACTGGCCCAGACTGGGGAATGTGATCCTGAAGAGATTTACAAAGCAGCACGGCATCTAGAAGTCCGGATTCAGGACTTCGTTAGGAGAGTGGAACAGAGGAAACTTCTTTTGGATATGTCTGTCTCCTTCCACACTCATACCAAAGAGGTAAGATGCCTGAAATGTAACAGAAATTCAGATACTGTCAGACCTATGTTTCAAGTATGGAACATAGCAAAAGATGTCCATATTGCTCAAGGCATATTAGAATAAACTTAGATTATATAAAATTAAAGCTTAGAAAACCTGCCAAATTATATAAATGTTACAAGTCTCCCTATTGGAGTTGCAGCATAACTATAAAAGAAAGTGGAATCAGTAGAAATGTTCTCTGTTTGCCTACCTAGCTGAACTTCCATAACAAAATAGCAATGTGCATGTTAACCCTGATTACTGGTTACTAATATTTAGTGTTCATGTGAAGTTTATATGCAATGGAGTAGACCCTTCATCTGTATTGTGTAACTGGAATATCAACACGTAGGTTTCTTCTCAGAATATTTTTTTCAAGTAGAAAGAGATAAATGTATTCAGTTTCCTCCCTCTCTTTACATCCATCATTTCATGTCCTTCACTGATCTGGAGAATTCTCTGAAGAAGCATAAATGTCTGCAAGAGGAATTGATAAACTTTTCTTTTTTGAATGTAATGGACCAGGCTACGTGGAAGCTCATCCGCATGGAGAAAAAAGATTTGCTTTATGGTTTGAGTTCTTTAAAAGACAATGTCATTATTGTTTCTTAAATTTCTTAGGCAATTGAATTTTAATGAAGCATCTATCTGCTTTACCACTGTTTCTAACAAGTATCGGCTAAAGGAGCTAGCTTTGATTCCATTCTATTCAAAGTAGGTTCTGCAGATATGTCCCTTTCAATTTTCTGTGGCTTCCTCAGGACTAGACTAAATGCTGTTTTAATACAAGTGAACAATGTTCAAAATGTATAAAAATAGGACACTTTTTCAGCAGACTTAGAGGACATTGAAACTAAGAGCCTGAAGGTATAATTAAAGCATACTCTACATTTTTCCATTTTCAAACCAAAGGCCTTCAAGTAACTTTGAAAACAGGATTGGGTACTATAAACAAATAATGTGTAAAAATTATAAACAATTTTATTGCAGTCATTAACCTGCAAGTGGGAAATAAATATGTTAATATCCAAAGTTGAATTGACAATATCAGAATAGTGAGGTTAAATGCATACAAAGAATTTTGACTAAAAAACAACAACATAAACAAAGGATGCTGCTTGTTCCAGCACTCATGTGCAATAAAAGAGAAAGAATTAAGTTCCATTATCACAGAAGTATAAGCTTTAAAATGGTAGCATAACATTCAGGTAAATATCAATAAGTAAAGCAATAAAATCAGCCAGAAGAAATTTGGGGATTATAAACTGCATATATCATTCCCTGTCAAACCTGAAAATAATGTAATATAATAATTGATATAGCAAGTACATACCAAGAAATAAACACCTTTAAGGGGATAAGTACTGTAACTGAGGGTATATGCTGGGACTGGACCATACCAGGGGTTGCCACAAAGAAGAGGGAGTTAAGCTATTCTCCAAAGCGCCTGAAGGCAGGACAAGAAGCAATGGATGGAAACTAATCAAGGAGAGAAGCAACCTAGAACTAAGAAGAAATTTCCTGACAGTTAGAACAATTAATCAGTGGAACAACCTGCCTCCAGATGCTATGAATGCTCCAACACTGGAAGTTTTTAAGAAGAGATTGGACAAACATTTGTCGGAAATGGTATAGGGTTTCCTGCCTAAGAACGGGGTTGGACTAGAAGACCTCCAAGTTCCCTTCCAACTCTGTTATTCTATTCTATTCTATTCTATTCTATTCTATTCTATTCTATTCTATTCTATTCTATTCTGTGACACATCATGTGGTGGGAGGCAAGTGATAAACAGCTTTTAATTGTGGACAGAAGGTAGATTTCTTTCATGATTCATGTATCTCATTGATATGGACTGGCTTCAGACATCACATTTATTTATTTACTTATTTTATATTCTGCCTTTATTATTTATATAAACAACTCAAACATATCTAGTACTCTTTCTTCCTCCTATTTTCCTCACAACAACAGCCCTGGGAGGTGAGTTGGGCTGAGAGAGAGCGACTGACCCAAGGTCATATAGCTGGCATTTATTTCCAAAGAGGGACTAGAACTCACAGTTTCCTGGTTTCAAGCTTGGTGCCTAACTAACTAGCCACCACTACTTAGTTATATTTTCAACCATGGTTCGTTGAATGTCACAACTGGTTGGCTTTATGCATTGTGCTTAACCCAAAACTGAGCCAACCATATTATGGCAGATCATGATTTGTCAAACACACAAACCCAGATTGCTTAATTGCAAGTTTCAGGTGCATGCTCCTATAACCAAGAGCCATTATTACTTTATTATTACAAACCGAGATCCAGTTCGGTTTAGTGGTTAAAGCACCAGGCCAGAAAGCAAGAGACCATTGGTTCAAGTCCCACCTTATCCAGGAAAACCAGCGGGGCAACCTTAGGCCAGTCATCTTTCTCAGCCCAGCCCATCTCACAGGGTGGTTGTAGTCACGGGGAAAATAGGAAGAGGAAGGTTTGTTGGATATGTTTGCCCCTTGAATTATTTGTAAAAATAATGAAAGTAGGATATGGATGGATGGGTGGGTGGATGGATGGATGGATGGATGGATTGATGGAAAACCTACACTACAACTGTCTTTATATTGAATTGTGCCCTGTGGCACCATTTTCCTTCTAATAGTTAGTCTGAATAAATAGTTCAGAATAACAGAATGACAGAATTGGAAGGGACCTTGGAGGTCTTCTAGTCCAACCCCCTGCTCAGGCAGGAATCCCTATACCATTTCAGACAAATGGTTGTCCAATCTCTTCTTAAAAACCTCCGGTGTTGGAGCATTCATAGCTTCTGGAGGCAGGTTGTTCCACTGATTAATTGTTCTAACTGTCAGGAAGACTCTCCTTAGTTCTAGGTTGCTTCTTTCCTTAATTAATTTCCTTCCTTTGCTTCTTGTCCTGCCTTCAGGTGCTTTGGAGAATAGCTTGACTCCCTCTTCTTCGTGGCAGTCCCTTAGATGTTGGAACACTGCTATCATGTCCCCCCTAGTCTTTTTTTTATTATTAAAGTAGACATACCCAATTCCAGCAACCTTTCTTCATATGTTTTAGGCCCTAGCCCCTAATCATCTTTGTTGCTCCTCAACATTGTTGATAATATATAATAGTTCAGAGATAATAGAGAAGCAAATTAGTTCAAATGAATTTTTATTTTGTCAGAAAAGAAGCAGGAAAACATCAAAAGTTTTCAAAGACTGACTCTGAATGATTTTGTTTAGGTTAACTTTGCAGACAGCAGAAGTCAGCAGAAGTCACATAAAGAGTCTTGTGGCATGTTTGACTATTGATAAGATGGAACAGAAAGAAAACATGTACATGCTGGACTGGCTGCATTCCTTTACTAAAGGTCTGAGGAATGTTCCTAGGCAGAGGAAATGGTGGAAACTTTATAGTTCTTCCAGATAGCTTAATAAGACTTATTTTGAGCAGAACTCTGCATCTCTTAACAGCCTCAAATTCAGCTATCAATTATCACTATTCAGAATTGGGAAAAAAAATCTCTTAGCATAGAATTTATATAGCAGTTCCTGCTCTTAATTTTCTCTAGATTTATAATGACAGCCTATTAAAAGGGCATCTTGCCAGGCATTCTTTAAAAAGTCACAGTTTCACAGTATCTGAGTTTCTCATGACATTATTTAATATGAGGTGCATAAAATGTAAATTTATTATGATCGTTTACTTGGATCTTTGTTCATTGATGGAAAGTATAACTCCCTTAAATACCTGTGCTTTTTAAAAACTTTTTTTTCTTGATGAATGCATAAAGAGATAAGAGAAGAAATAATAGCCAGGAATTAATGTTTTCTTAAAGCTATAAGTCATAGAAAGATTTTATATAGGTTGAGGAATTATAAGTTGACCATTTTTATTATTGCTCTTTAAAGGAGTGAGCAGTTTCCTGGGTACCCTTAAGTTTTTCTAAAATGGCAAATTATTGCTAACCTGATATCCTGACTGCTTAGAATTAATGGATCAATCTGGAACATATTGATATTCAACATCAATGTTGAAAATGTCAGGCCAAATGCACGTCAGCATTTAACTTTCTCAAGGGCACTGGACTTCAGTACCAAAGCCTAGCTGAAGTCATATTCATCTATTCAGATAGTTCAATAGTAAAGTAATCCTCCATAATGCAAAATTATATTGGTGTTGTTACCATAACATATCAGACATTTATTACATTGATTTCAGTAGTGATTCCCAAATAGTCTTAATTGGTAATGTTGCCAGTATTTAGTTTGGGACAGCTAACAGCTATAAATGGATTATATGCAACTGCATTTTGTAAAGTTGCTTCATAAATTCAAAAAGAAGAAACTGTTTAATACTTTTCTTGACACTTATTTTATAAAGACAATTAGTAAACAATCATTTCATGAAGGATTACTGTATGGCATTTGGGCTTAAAGAGCTGCAAGCAGACACCCTGCCATTCACAATCATCTGCCATTTTTGTTTTGTTGCATACTTTTGTATACAACTAAGTTTTTTCCTTAATCTGCTCCACTACAACACATTTTTCCCATTTAAGCAAATCGGCATATGATCTTGCATTCAGGTTTACACCTATAAAGACAGACATTGGTGCAGTCTGAAAATCAGAGGCAATCTGATATACTTTGTCTGAAAGAGTTATCTCCTTCACCCAAAGGCTTGTACACCTCCATAGATACCTCTATGAGTGTATTGGATTTAGCTTGGGGAAATGGATCACAGACTCTCGGATTCTGCAATATTCGTCACGTCATGTATCATCACGTCTCTTTAAAGCTGGGATATGAAAACTCCAATGTACAGGTCTGATCTGACCTGCCAGGCTGAACTGTCTAGATTGTAAAGCTAAACATAGACTCATAGCATCGGATAAGATGATTTACACCATCAACACCAAGCACCTGCTCAATTCAGAAATCTAAAGTAAAGTATCTCAGACACCTGATTTCCTCTATTTGAATTCTTCTAACAAAATGAACCGGGTCCTTCTCGACATGACCCTCTTCATCCTACAATATTCAGCATTTCAACATCTCAATTCTGTAATTTTCCTATTTAGGGAAATAAAAGAGCTTCTAAAAATGGCAAGAAATAGTGCTTGCAGGTTGTTTCAGCTCCTCTGCACCTTTCATTTCTCAGAAAGATTGGCTAGAAAGTAGAGTGAAGGACTCCTCCTTCTCCTAAAGCCTTGTCTCTAGTGTCGATCTTAAAACAATGTGAGAGCTTGAAAATCACTTAAGGAAAATACACTATGTATTATTCAAAATTAAACCAAGCAATATGGATCCGTAGCTGGCTGACCGGCTGTACTCAGCGTGTGGTCCTCAATGGAACTGCATGTACATGGAGGGAAGTGTGTAGTGCCCCAGGGTTCTGTTTTAGGCCCAGTGCTCTTCAACATCTTCATCAATTATTTGGATGAGGGGATAGATGGGGAACTCATCAAATTTGCAGACGACACCAAGCTGGCAGGAATAGCCAACACTCCAGAAGACAGGCTTAAGATACAGAAGGATCTGGACAGACTTGAACATTGGGCGCTATCTAACAAAATGAAATTCAATGGTGAAAAAAGTAAGGGTCTACATTTAGGCAAGAAAAACCAAATGTACAGGTATAGTATAGGGGGTACCTTGCTCAATAGTGGTAACTGTAAAAGGGATCTTGGAGTCCTAGTGGACAATCATTTAAATATGAGCCAGCAGTGTGCTGCAGCTGCCAAAAAAACCAACACAGCGCTAGGCTGCATTAACAGAGGGATAGAATCAAGATCATGTGAAGTGTTAATACCACTTTACAATGCCTTGGTAAGGCCACACTTGGAATACTGCATCCAGTTTTGGTCACCACGATGTAAAAATGATGTTGAGACTCTAGAAAAAGAGTACAGAGAAGAGCAACAAAGATGACCAGGGGACTGGAGGCTAAAACGTATGAGGAACGGTTGCTGGAATGGGGTATGTCTAGTTTAGTGAAGAGAAGGACGAGGGGTGACATGATAGCAGTGTTCCAATATCTTAGGGGCTGCCACAAAGAAGAGGGAGTCAAACTATTCTCCAAAGCACCCTGAAGGCAGGACAAGAAGCAGTGGGTGGAAACTAACCAAGGAGAAAAGCAACGTAGAACTAAGGAGAAACTTCCTGACAGTTAGAACAATTAATCAGTGGAACAACCTGCCTTCAGAAACTGTGAATGCTCCAACACTGGAAGTTTTTAAGAAGAGACAGGACAACCATTTGTCTGAAATGGTATAGGGGTTGGACTAGATGATCTCCAAGGTCCCTTCCAACTTCTTCTTCTTCTTCTTCTTCTTCTTCTTCTTCTTCTTCTTCTTCTTCTTCTTCTTCTTCTTCTTCTTCTTCTTCTTCTTCTTCTTCTTCTTCTTCTTCTTCTTCTTCTTCTTCTTATTATTATTATTATTATTATTATTATTATTATTATTATTATTATTATTATTATTATTATTATTA